AAAGCTTTGGGGACGCTGGTTAGGGTACCCACAAGAGTGGCCAGAAAGTCCATGAGGTGTTTAAAGAATGAAGAGGTAGAAAGGAAAAGGAACCCCCAGCCTGTGAAGGCAGGGACAGGGGAGAGGTAGCAGGAGGAATAGTAGCTCCTGCAAACATGTTTTTCAGGACCTAGAAGCCTCCAGAGTAATTGTCAGGATAATCATTTCTTTAAGCATGGTATGTGCCTTCCTGAAAAGAAAGGAGCAATTGAAATTTTGTTTGCATTTTCATGACTATAATTGGATTTCACTGGCCTACATTTCCAAGGGAGCACCCCTCCTTCTCTGTAGTCCTGATACCCAGCAGTCACCCAGGCTAGCAAGGGCTCATCCCCACAGCTATCTGAGCAACCAAGCACTTTGCAGGAGGGAGCGTGGGAGACTGTAACCTTTCTGGAGAGTCATCTGGCAGTAACTAACAAAATTCAGAATGAATGTGCCTTTGACCAGGCGGCACTTTGAGGACTCTTGCCTACAGAATTAAAGCAAAGAACAAACAAATAGGTTGTGAAAGTCTATTTACGGCAGCAGTGCCTGTAACGCTGAAACCTATAGGAAAAACTGGAAGGTCACTGGCTAGGGAAGTGGTTGGCTAAAAGCTGTTTGATGGGAAATTCTGTTGCTTTGGTTTAATCTAGAGACATTGACAAGAAGGGAGGTCTGTGATTTATTACTTAGCCAAAAAAAACTTCACGGAAAATAGAAATATTATAGCATAATCCTTCTTGTTTTTGTTATTTCCTGGTCAAAAAAAAATTAAAGAAAATTCTTTCTATGTGTATGTACGTTTGTATGAACAAGGAGGTAATGTAGAAGAGAACACAAAACTGTTACCTTAGCAGAGATTAATTTTAAAAATATGCACATCTCCTTATTATTCACTTTATGTAGCAAGCAGGCACAGCTGCTATATGTTAAAGTAAATATATAATATTTAATTTTATATAATAAGTAGGTATTGCCTTTATTTTAAAAATATATTTATACTTAATTGTATACAATGTGTATATTAAATTTAAATATATGTGTAAATTATATTAAAATTACATTTCATATCTATTTTTCAAACATAAATGAAAAATATATCTATTAAATAGATTAAATATTTAAAATCCTGTATTTTTATTTTTACTCTTTTTGAGATGGAGTCTTGCTCTGTCACCCAGGCTGGAGTGCAGTGGTGCAAACTCAGCTCACTGAAACCTCTGCCCCCCGGGTTCAAGCAATTCTTCTTGCCTCAGCCTCCCAAGTACCTGGGATTACAGGTACCCATCACCATGCCCAGCTAACTTTTGTATTTTTTAGTAGAGATAGGGTTTTGTCATGTTGGCCAGGCTGGTCTTGAACTCCTGACCTCAAGTGATCCATGCACATGGGTCTCCCAAAGTGCTGGGATTAAAGGCATGTGCCACAATGCCCAGCCTAAAATCCTGAATCGAATTTTAAATATAGAGGTAGGCATTACTTCTATATTAAAAAAAAATATGTATGTTCATATGAATGTATATATACTATATTATATAGAATATATATTATAGACATTACATAATATATTACATGTGTGATAGTCACCCAAATACATCAGTGTTTGTGGCAGCAGCATTTGTAAAAGCCCAGTTGAAAACAAGCCAGTGCCCATCACAGTATAGTGGACAAATAATTCATGGCATATTTACACAATAGAATACTATGCCAAAAGGAGAATGAACACACAATCCATGGATGACTCTCACAAACAAAATGTTGAATAAAGAAGCTGATGCAAAAGAATGAGTACTATGCATACAATTCCGTTTATACAATGTTCAAAACCAGGCAAAATGAATCTATCCTGCTCATCAGGACAGTGGTACTGAGAAGTGGGCTGAGAGGAGAGACTTTAAAGGCTGGTCCTGTTCTGATTTTTTTTTTTCCTTTTTCTTTTCTTAAAATTGGAGTCTAGCTCTGTTGTCCAGGCTAGAGTGCAGTGGTGCAATCATATAATAGCTCACTGTATCCTCCAACTGGTAGGCTCAAGGGGTCCTCCCACCTCAGTCTGTGAATAGTTGGGACTATAGGTGAGCACCATTGTTTCCAGCTAACTTTCTGCGTATATGCATATATATATATATATATTTTAGAGATGGGATCTCACTATGTCTGTTGCCCAGGCTGATTTTGAACTCCTAGGCTCAAGTGATCCTCCTTCCTGGGCCTCCCAAAGTGCTGACATTACAGGTATGAACCACTGTGCCCAGCCCTGTTTTGTTCCTTGATCTATTTTCTGTTCACATGGGCTATCAGTTTGGAAAAATCCAATCACGTGTGCACTTTTCTGTATGAGGGGTTAGAAATGATAATAAATGCCATTATAAAGCATATATTTTAAAAGGCATTTGCAGGCCAGGTGCAGTGGTTTCATGCCTATAATCCCAGTATTTTGGGAGGCCAAGGCAGGGAGATCATTTGAGTTAAGGAGTTCGAGACTAGCCTGACCAATATGGTGAAACTCCATCTCTACTAAAAATACAAAAGTCAGCCAGGCATAGTGGTGATTGCCTGTAATCCCCACTACTCGGGAGGCTGAGGCAGGAGAATCGCTTGAACTTTGGAGGCAGAGGTTGCACTGAGCTGAGAGCGCATCACTGCACCCCAGCCTGGGTGACAGACCAAGACTCTGTCTCACAAAAATAAATAAATAAATACATACACACATATATACAAATAAAAGACATTTACAAAGGCCCGTGCTTCCCAACAGAGATGAGCACCTGCTCCCTGACTTACTTGGCCTTCCCAGGACCTGACTCTTTCCTTTTGTCCCAGGTATTGCAGGCTCAAGTGACAAGTGGGAAAAGCTGGAGAAGAACATTCTGGAGCAACTCCCCCATGAGGTACAGGAAGACTACGGCCAGGACTACATACTAGCACAGCGGAATTTCCTCCAACTCATCAACTCGAGGGCCAGCACAGACTTCTCTCCAGTGCTGCGGGACATCCAGCATGCTATCTCCGCGAAGAGCCCCTTTACCTTTTACACACCGGGGAAAGCCGCTTACATGTGGCTCTGTTTTGCTTCCTTTTTGCCTGCTGGCATATATGATTACCTTATTGAAAGAAATGCTGGCAAAAACGGGCCCATGCCCAGAGCTCTAAGCATGCCTAACTATAAGAAGGCCACCTAGGCTGTGGAAGAACTTAAAGCAGTAGGAATGTCATAGTCTTGGAATGAAAAGAAAACTGTGGGTTTCTCATTAAAGTTTTTTCCTACTCTGCATTCTCTTTGAAATGTTTTGATTGAATACTACTTTGTAGTGAGAAGGCTGGAGGTTAGCAACAGCCTCATGGAGAGCGTTAATTGAGTCCCTACTATGCAACAGATACATTACAGATATTCCTTCATCTAGTTCTCATTAGAGAATTGAAGTAGGTATCTTTGACCCTACTTAATATAATCAGAGAGGTTTCTTGTCACACACTAGCAAAAGGCAGAGCCAGAATTCAAATCCTGGGTTGGACTCCACTGCCTGCCAAGAGAAGAGTAAGAGAAAGAAGGGATGAAGAGAAAGAGAGAGGGAAGGGAACGAGGAGGCAGAAATGTCAAGGGCAGCAGTCCAGTGGATCCTCAAAGTCTTCCTCACTGTGCATTGATATTCCGTAACTACTACAACCAAGGTATGGGATTCACTGTAAATGATCAGAGCTTCGTTCTCTTCTTTCCTCTTTTTTCCTTTACCAGGAGCTCTGGAGATGATAGATGAAGTCTCCCATCTCAAACAGAACCCTCGAGACTTCTTGGCAGATCCAGGGAATGTGGACTGGTTTAGCATCCACAGTAACCACCACTGTTACCACGTTTCCCCCATCTGAGCATACTGGGATGGAAAAGCCAGTATTATCACCTGGAAGAGCTTAGTGGAAGGGAGCAATGTCAAATGATTACAGAGGTATGACCAAGGTCAGTTGGGTGTGACAAAAGGGAAGGAGTTGGTGAGCAGAGGGTGCATAAAGAAAACGAGAACACCTTGCTCACTGCGAAACTCTCTGTTCCGTTTCCTTTCCATAATGTGGAGGCCCTTTTTCTATTTTCCTTGGTAATTTCATGACAAAATATACTATGACAGTGCTCTGCAGTTTTCTCCCAGATAAAATAAAAAATAGCCATATAGTAAGATAAATACTTATAAAATACTAACATGATATATTTTTAATGGTAGTCATACTGACAGCCCAGTGGCTCTCCGCCATTGCTTCAGAGCAGAATGGAAAGAAAAAAAATTAGTCTAAGTGTTGATTTCCCTAATAGGCACTTTCTGGGGATAAGTGTTGTTGAAGCCAACACTTCTATTTGCATGACTCCAGTGTTGTTCGGAGAACAAGCAACTTGTTAAGCTTCTAGTCCAAAGTTTGGGAGAGCTCTGAGGATAGTGTGCTTCCCTAAAAGCCAACGATCCTCAAAGAGTGATCCCTGGACCTGAAGCATTAGCATTGCCCAAGACTGTATTAGAAATGCAGATTCTCAGAAGACACCCCAATTCTGTATTATGTTCCTATGGCTGCTGTAACAAATTACCACATATGTAGCAGTTCAAAGCAGCATAAAAGTATATGACCTTACAGTTCTGGAGGTCAGAATTCTGAAAAGGGTCTTACAATGCTAGAATCAAGTGGTCAGCAGAGCTGTGTTCATTCTGGAAACTCCAGGAGAGAATCCATCTGTTGCCTTTTCCAGCATCCAAAGGCCTGCATTCCTTTGCTATGGCAGCACCACTCCAATCTCCTCTTCCATTGTCACATCTTCTCTGATGGACCCTCCTGCCTTCCCCTCATAAGGCCTTCCTGATTATATTGAGCCTACCCAGATAGTCCAGGGGAATCTCTCGATCTCAAGATCCTTAATTTAATCACAACTGCAAAGTCCTTTTTGCCATGTAAGATAACATATTCACAGGTTTTGAGGATTCATGCACCATTGTCATTAAGGGCTGTATTAGTCCATTTTCACACTGCTATAAAGAAATACCTGAGTCCAAGTAACTTATAAAGAAAAGAGGAAAGAGGTTTCATTGGCTCACAGTTTCACAGGCTGTACAGGAAGCATGGATAGGAAGGCCTCAGGAAACTTACAATCTTGGCGGAAGGTAAAGAGGAAGCAGGCATATCTTCACATGGCCCGAGCAGGAGGAAGAGAGAGCGGTGTGGAGGCGCTACACTCTCTTTAAACAACCAGATCTCACAATAACTCACTCACTATCACTAGAACAGCACCAAAGAGGACATGCACTCCCATAATCCAATCACCTCCTACCAGGCCCCTCCTCCAACATTGGAGATCACAATTTGACATAAAATATGGTTGAGGATGTAGACCCAACTCATATCAAAGACCGTTGTCCTAAGGAGCACAGCTATTGAATCAGAGACAGGGTGGGAGCCAGCAACCTGTGTTGTAATGAGCTCTCCTGGTGACACACACCCACATGTGAGAATCTTTCCTCCAAGCCATGGAGTGACCAGGCAGTGGGGTGTGTGCTCAGGCTACAGAAGAAGTGGGGAAGACTCTTTGAAGACAGTGAGAAACATCAAGAGAACTGATACGAGAGTGTGGGATCTATTCTCCTCTACAGCTTCCCAAGGTTTGAAAACTCTGAGCCATCAGGAGAAGGTGCCAAATAGAGACCTCCATGGATCTGAGAACTGCATATCAGAGAGGCTTATATTGGGTTCCCCTAAGAAGGGCTTCCATATGATTTTGGATTTAACTGGGAGCAAAATAAACCACAAGGTGGCCTATTTAGCCAGAGAAAGATTGACAACCTCTCATGCCACCTTCACTGACAGAGTCCATTTGGGCTGCTGTAATAAAACACCATCAGCAGGATCGCTTCAAACAAGAGATTTGTTTCTCACCATTTTCAGGGAGTCCAAGATCAAGGTGCTGGCAGATTTGGTGTTTCGTAAGGGCCTGCTTCCTGGTTCATAGACTTTCATCTTCTCCTTGTACTCTTAGATGGTGGAACAGGTGAAGGATCTCTCTGGGATCTCTTAGACCACTGATGAAGGCAGAACCTCCCAGAGGCCCCACCTCTTAATTCCACTGCACTGAGGATTAGGTTTTAACATATTCATTTTGTTGGGACACAAACATTCAGACCTTAGTACCCATCATGACTCCTTTGGCTTTGGGTGGGAGTGAGGACATCTTGGAAAAGTCACTGGAGCTCCTCAGGAGAGTAGGGAACAGAGCTTGGAAGAATCAGGGCACCTGCATGTGGGTCGGGGAACACTGTAGAAGAGGTGTGGGGTGGGCAGACTTGAGCTGGGACCAAAGTGAGGATGATAAATCCCAACTGGAAGATGAGACAAATTCTCTTTTCCCAAATGCCAGGAAAACACACCAGCCCCTAGCCATCTAGATCCCGAGGAAAAGAGCAAAGAAAAGAGAAGGGGAAGGGAAGAGAATCTTGAATTTAGCTTCAAATTTATCTGTTTTAAACTAGAAGAGACAAGATCGCCTAAAAGCATTAATAAAGGTTCCAATCTATTTAACTTTAGAGCAATGCATACAGTTTCTCAGAAAACAAATAGACAAGTGTTACATAAAAATACCTCCATGCCTTGCCATATCTATACAGTAATCGATGTCCCTGAAACCAGTGAGAGCCAAGGGCAGAGTGAAGCCCTCCATACATGCATAATTCGTTGTATTCCTGGGGGGAGGCATGATGAAATGGTGGTTCAACAACAGGACTCCTGGCTAAAAGAATTTCCCCTTCCCCAGTCCTGCTGTCCTGCTCAAGGGTAGGATGCAAGGTGCCTTTAACACCTGGCTATATGGCATCAACCGCAAAACCCCATCCACCCCTCTTTTCCTCTTCCCTTTCTCTGTTTTCTCAATGATGTCAGCAGAAAAATGGACCATTCTCACAGCAGACCCAGGATAAGAGGGAGGAGTTAGGAAAAGCATCCAGTGAAAATATGATTTATTACATGGGGAGCAGATACAAGGCCTACAAATAAATCCTATTATATCATTGGAATAGAACATTAAATTTTATCAGTTTCATTACACTAGGGATAAAGACCATGTTCTGGAATGCCATTCTGGATGATGTAATTCTGAGAAAGAGAAATTCTATGCAAACAGCTCTGATGAGGTGGTTGTAATTCCTGCCTAGAAAAGTCCTTAGACCAGCCTACATACAATGCTCCACTCAGAGGTTTAGGACTCCTGAACACATCTGCTCTGGATGGGCTCAAAATAAAGTGTTTCTCTACTGATTTGTAGGCCAATATCTCCCCCTGAGATCTCCAAGATCACAGGTGGACATGGCAGAACTAGGTGGGTGTTTCTGAGTCCCAATACAATACCCAGCTCAGAATTCCACATCAAGAAATAGAAGCAAAAGGTAGAGAGAGATTGGGACAGAGGTGAAAGCTCATGATAGGCAGACCCCAATATGTTTGCAGGGTGAATTTGCTTACTCTCTTGTCTTCCCTGCCTTTCTTCTTTTTGGGATTTTAGTGAGACTGTCATTCACCACCACCACCACCACAGGGTGTAACCAGGGTGACCAACCATCCTATATCCTTGGCTCCAGTGATTAGTTCATGGTAGGCATGTCACCCAGGAAGGGCCAAAGATTTTTGGTGGGAGGATTATTAATAGGCACTGGGAGAAATGAACAGCTGCTGAACTATAATGTCCATGGTAACAACTGAAGCTTCTAGAGCCCACCAAGAACAGAGAGTCTGTTAGAGAATGAAGCCAGGACAGAGGAAAATGGAGCAGAACAATGAGGAAAAATCCAGGTCTAATGACATAGTTTGAACCCCTCAATATAGCCATACCTGCAGACCTACCCTTTGGATTGATTTCCGAATTGTGTGAACCAATACATTTTCTTTGAACTATTTCAAGCTGAACTTCTATTTTTTTGGCAACAAAATTAATTCTGGCAAATATACACTGTCGAAACAGATTTAGTAAAGAATGAGGAATAAGATAATGCTTAACAGAGAAAATGGGCAATGTTTCAATGTTCTAGGGGAGAAAGAAAGTGACAAGACTAAGCATGAAAAGAGAGAAAGTGGTTAGGGTGGGTGATTTTACCATTTAGTGGCCCTCTCCCATTGAAAAGCAACTTTTCTGTTAAAATTTACTTAGGGGTCTCATCCCCAAAGTCTATGATCACAGTCTCTCTGGAGCAAGATGAAACAAGATCCTTACTGAGCCTCAAGGTGGAAATGAAAGATTTTAGCTGACTACTGGCAATCTTAGATAATTGGGCTCATGCTTGGCTAAGTTAACAGCATAAGGTACATTGTGTCTAGCACAGTAAGACAGTAAAACTTATTTACATATTGCAAAATATATTGATGACTAAAGTGAGACTCCCAGTCTACCATGGGAATCAGGATGATCAGCAAATAAACTCAAAGGATTTGTTGTGAATTATTTGTTCCTCTCAGGTAGTTCCATCTGTGTGAAGATGTTCTGGCTACCAGGTAATTGCCCAGATAATTTTATTACACAGATATTTTGTTTAGGTCCATTTTCCATTCCTTCTCCTATTTTGATTACAGGTAATGATTCACTGCTGGACACAACATCACCCCTCTCTTTGGCATTGCCCTGTGCTCTCTCTCCTGATTGTCAGATATGAACTAATTCCACATAGAGAAGGTCCTAAATAGAAACATGTTGTTTCTTGGTCTGGGTAGGGTTTATGTTGGCAAGGCTTAAATGTTCAGGCAAGAAATTTACATTGACAAACAAAAAGCACACACTTCCATGTTGAGTTGCAAAATAGGTCTGAAAATTATATGAGGTCTGAAATAGGTCTGAAAAATAGGTCTGAAAAATCCAAGGTGAGTTGCAAAATAAGTCTGAAAATTATATGAGAGCTAGGCCATGGCAATGCTGGGTAATTTGGAGAGGGTGTGGCCATGCAGCATCGACTTACTTTCCTACTTGGGGGTCATTGCTCAGATGTGAGATATTGATGGGAAGCAGCAATTTTCATCCAACCATAGAAGGCACAAGGTCTACATCCTGCCTCTGCCAGTATTTTGTCTCTAGGACTTGGAAATATGAACAAACATATGACCCTTTTAGGGAATGGAATGTCCACATGAAGGCTGAGGCTGACAGTCTCCCACAAATAGAAGGTGTGTCTCCCATTTCTTGGTCCTTTAAAGACACTTGGCTTCCCCCAATCCAACTTTTTAAGCTCCGTCCTCGAAGCTTGCCTTGATGATGCGAATCATATATACATTAAAAAATACTCTTCTTTTGGTAAAAGACAGAATTCGGTTCACGTTACTTGCAAACACAGCATTCTCAAATATATCAGCAGCATCATTATCGTTTTGGTCATCAGCACAGTGTTTTCAAACGCTTAGTGCTAACACTCAGCCCCATGTCTACACGGGTCCTCAGGATGAATGGCTCCCAGAAGGGCTCACTCTCTAAAAGGCCCTGCGTGTGACAGCAATGGCACCTGCATTTCCCCTTGTGCACCCTCCCAGTTTCCCTTCCCTCCCCGCTCTCTGGCCAGGACTCTGTTCCATCTGCTGGGGATGAGGTGGGTTAGGGCGCTGTGTTAACAGAACTTGTGGGAACCCAAGGCAGCTCTCCTTATTTTCAGGTCAAGGAACTACTTACCCTTCCCCAGGCCCCAAGTGTACTAGATGAATTCTGTTCTTGTGTTTGTGTTTTGAATCCTGGTTAATATTGCTCCAAACGTCACATTCTTGGTGGCAGATCAACAAGGCAGTACGCCATGGGCATTTTGGAGTCACATGCTGTTATGGTCTGAATGTATCCCCCCTAAATCCACGTGTCAAAATCCTCACCCTCAATGTGATGGTATTAGGAGGTGGGGCCATCGGGAGGTGATTAGTTGTGAGGATGCAGTCGTTGGGATGAGGTTAGTGCTGTCACAAGAGAAGACAGGCAGAGCCTGCATTTTTCCCTTCACCTTGTGAGGACCCGACAGGAAGATGGCCGTCTGCAAACGAAGAAGTGGGCTCTCAATGCACACTGGGTCTGCCGGCACCTTGATCTCAGAATTCCAGGTTCCAGAAGTGTAAGAAATAAGTGTTTGTCTTTCAAGCCGCTCAGTCTAGGGTAATTTGTTACAGAAGCATGAACTGAATAAGACACAAAGACTTGGGTTCAAATCTCGGGCTTGCTGTCTAACAGCTGGGTGACCTTAAGCAAGCAAGCTGCTCAACTTCACTGCATCTTAAGGCTTCTTCTTCTTCTTTTTTTTTTTTTTTTTTAACTCTAAAAACAGAGGCAGTGGTAATGATAATCTCATAAAGTGATTGTGAGGTTTAACTATGATGATAATACTAAGGGTTCAGCCAGTGCCTGGCATTTAATAAGGGCTCCATGAACGTGGTAGTAGTAGTCATACTTTTCTTCTTTTGTATCTGAATGAAGACCATGTCACTTTGGTGTGTCCTTTCCAGGTTGAGGCCAGATGGTGAGAAGGCAGACATGGCTCTGAATCTGTACCCAGGACTTCAGGAACAGCCTAATCCAAATGGGGCCTTTTACTGTTGGCTGGCTGATGCTTCTCCCGCCCACTAGGTCACGGGGGAATCTCTTATCAAGTTGGTGCAAAATTTACTGTGGTTTTGGCCATTACTTTTTTTTTTTAATGGCTAAAACTGCAATTACTTTTTCACCAACCTAATATGAACAAACAATGAGGCTTACAGTTCCTATCCCTCCTGATAAAAATCCCTACTGCCTGTTTTTTTTATTTTTGAAGATAACAATCACTGATGACTTTCTACATGCCAGGAACTCTGTTGAGCAATTTCACAGTCATCCCCCCTTATCCATGGGGAGTATGTTCCATACTCCCAGTGAATGCCTGAAACAGGCAGTAGTACAGAACCTCTAGACACTTTTTGAAGTTGGAGGTGCAACAGCAAAACTATCACGAGTTTCTTTTTCCTTCTTCACCATTTCACAAACAGAATGTTTGTTCTCTCAACAACCTCGGTGCACCATTTTGTTCTTTCCTTATTGAGAACTTTCATTTTTTTACACAGAGGAAGCACTTCACCGCTTCTCTGCGGCGCGTCCGAATTGCCCACAACACCACTCTTGCTTATTGTTACGTGCTGGGGCCATTGTTAATAAAATAGGGGGTGTTTTGAACACAAGCTCTGCAGCACAGCAAGCATTGATCTCATCCGTGAGATGATACTAAGGGACTAGTGGGTGGGGCGCGTCGACAGGGTGAAAATACTAGACAGAGGGATGAATCCCCCCTGCGCAGGGCAGGGTAGAACGGAGTCAGACTTCATTATACTCCTCAGAATAGGATGCAATTTAAAACTTAAGAATTGTTTATTTCTGGACTGTTCCATTTAATACTTTCAGACCATGGTAGACCTCAGGTACCTGAAAGCACAGAAACTGAAACTGCGAATAACGGGCAACGGTACTTGGATGTACCAATGCAATCCTTACAATGACTCTGTGAAGTAGGTACTATTCTCATCTCAATTTTTAGAAAATGGAACAGACTTAGAAAGTTAACTTATCCAAAGTCACACACCTAGGACATAGTGGAGTTGAGCAAAACTTTTAATCCGAACTCGTTCAACTTCAGTTTTTAAAAAGCAGGAATTATGCAATTATACAATTATGCAAAATTTCTTTTTGAAGTCAGCTTCCTGGGTTCAGGTCACAGTTCTGCCACTGATGAGCTATGAGACCTTGAGGATCTTATTTGATTCTTTCCTAGTGCCTTAGAACCGTCATTTATAAAGTGGAGAGGATAATGATGATGATGATGATGATTTTTTTTCTTTTTTTTTTGAGATGGAGTCTTGCTCTGTCACACAGGCTGGAGTGCAGTGTCATGATCTTGGCTCACTGCAGCCTCCCCATCCCAGGTTCAAGTGATTCTCTCACCTCAGCCTCCGGAGTAGCTGGGATTACAGGTGCCTGCCACCACACCCAGCTAATTTTTGTATTTTTAACAGAGATGGAGTTTCACCATGTTGGCCAGGGTGGTCTCGAACTCCTGACCTCAAGGGATCTGCCTGCCTTGGCCTCCCAAAGTGCTGGAATTACAGGTATGAGCCACCACACCCGGCCAAGAGAATGATTATTAATAGTAGCGGCCTCATGGAACGATTATAATCTTAAATAAGTTAATCCATATTAAATACTTAGAACTTATTTGGCTCTAGAAGGCACACAATACATTGTTATTCATATGGTTAATTATAGGGTGCTCTAGTAATGGTGGGAGAAAAACTAAAACATGAGTGGAAAGCATTAGGGAAGAGGTTGCGATGTGGAGAAGGCTTTGGACTATGCAAAGTTTTATTTAAGCTTACTTCTTTGAGCTGGGCTTGAAGCAATATATCATTTCCTTATATAATGCTGGTAGAGTTTCATCAGGTCACTAAATGATTCTGAAAGGCAACATGATCTTTCTGATCAGTAGATAACTGGGTGGTCCAAGCATGCACTGATCACACACAAGCATTTCTTCCTGCAGGGTTGGGTCCCTGGCATGGAGGGCCTGGGATGAGGCACACAGGTCAAGCCTGTGTATGCCACATCCTTAGACCCCTCTCTTCCACTGGACCCCAGGCCAGGAAGGGAAAACTCATGACTTTCATGTTTCCTCCCTCCTTCTTCCGCAGGGTCAAGAAATAATTTTCAAAAAATGATAAAATCTTATACCAATAAACAATGAACATACATCCAAGTTTCATTTAACTTATTAATGAGAGAACAAGCAGGACGGCAAAGCTGGCCTCGGAGAGGAAATGAGAAGTTGATATATAAAATAGAGCGTCCTTTAAAAAATAATGCTAGAATTAGATTGCTAAATTAGATATAAAACTACAGAAAAGATTTAACTTCTGTGAAGCAATGTAATCGTCATCTGGGGTTAGGCTCTATCCTGGTCAGAAATTATTTGCATCTCTACTGGATAAAAGTAACAGGCACTCCATTACCCTCAGCAAACTAACAAAGGACCGGAAAACCAAACACCACATGTTCTCACTTATGAATGGGAGCTGAACAATGAGAACACATGGACGCAGGGAGGGAACAACACATACTGGGGCCTGTCAGGAGGTGGGGTGTGGAGAGGGAGGGCATTAGGAAAAATAGCTAACGCATGCTGGGCTTAATACCGAGCTGATGGGTTGATAGGTGCAGCAAACCACTATTGCACACATTTACCTATGTAACAAACCTGCACATCCTGCACATGTATCTTAGAACTTAAAAATTTAAAAAATTGAAAAGTAATTGGCACTCTATTAGTTTTCTCCAAGTTAGTAGCTACCTTTACAGAACTGGGACGATATGTAAGTTGCACAGAAAGCAAAGTCACATTTTCTGAGAGTCAGGTTGTCCTTACATGTCCTGGCATTGTTTACATGATACTAAAAACCCTACACGTATTTCTTTTTTTGCCTTGGTTCCAAATTTTGGCTGATTTTTTCATAATAATTACCAGGGTAGCGATTGCTAAGCGACCAGGAAACTCTTTTCTACTGACCCTAGTTATGGCCTTAGACTCCTTCAGCATTGTACACCATAGAGCCATCACCAGCTAATGACAATTCATGTAAGAAACGAAACTGACTTACCATCCAGCCCTTAATGACAACAGGGCATTGGTTTAGTAGTTCCAGACAGCTTCTTTTATTTGTTTATTTATTTACTTCTTTTTATTATACTTTAAGTTCTGGGGTACATGTGCAGAACATGCAGGTTTGTTACATAGGTATACATGCACCATAGTGGTTTGCTGCATCCATCACTCCATCATCTACATTAGGTATTTCTCCTAATGCTCTCCCTCGCCTATTCCTCCACCCCCTGCTTTCTCTCCCGCCAGTTCCCCAGCCCCTCCCTGTGTCCATGTGTTCTCATTGTTCAACACTCACTTATGAGTGAGAACATGGAGTGTTTGGTTTTCTGTTCTTGTGTCAGTTTGCTGAGAATGATGGTTTCTAGCTTTATCCATGTCCCTGCAAAGGACATGAACTAATCCTTTCTTATGGCTGCATAGTATTCTATAGTGTATATGTGCCACATTTTCTTTATCCAATCTATCATTGATGGGCATCCGGGCTGATTCCAAGTCTTTGCTATTGTGAACAGTGCCACAATAAACATATGTGTGCATGTGCCAGAGAGCTTCTTTCATGGCTGGCTGAGGCTATTCTGATGACTCTGTTAGAGCTCCAACGTAGCCATCAGAAAAGACCAAGAGAAGCATCAGCTCTCATTGAAGAACAGCCAGAGGTCAAAGGAAGCTCTCTCTTTTGTATCCTAGAACGAATTTCACTCTTTCTAAGTCAGGGTTTCATATATAAGCTGCATGATTTCAGAGCCCTTTATCTCACATGCTGATGGGTTCTTTTAATTAAAGCGTAGGGGGTTGATGTTAAATGTGTGAGGAGCTCCAAAGGTGTATTAGTCATGCTGCTAATAAAAACATACCCGAGACTGAGTAATTTATAAGGTAAAGAAGTTCAATAAACTCACAGTTCTACACAGCTTGGGAGGCCTCACAATCATGGCAGCAGATGATGGAAGATCAAAGGGATGTCTTACATGGTGGCAGGCAAGAAGAAAGATAAAAGTCAAGCAAAAGGGGAAACCCCTTATAAGACCATCAGATCTTGTGAGACTTACTCACTACCAACAGCATGGGGGAAACTACCACCATGATTCAGTTATCCTCCACTAGGTTCTTCCTACAACATGTGGGAATCTTGGGAGCTACAATTCAAGATGAGATTTGGGTGGGGACACAACCAAACCACAGCAGAGGAGAGGCAAGATTTATTCTTAGTTACATCGGGTGCTGCTAGTGACCTTGGAGTGATATATGGTCCATCCACCCAGTAAATGGACCTGTTATTCAAGAAAAAATGAGAAGATGAGGACCCAGGAGAAGAAATCATCCTCCATTCATTCCAAGGCATTCATTGGCACGTGCTATGCACCAAGTTTTACTGAAATCTATTGGGAGGTGTCAGAAAGTCTCTCCTCCTGAGAAGGATCATGAAACCTCCTGGTGCCACATGTACCAAATTTCCTAACTAAGGAAATTTCCTAAATTTCCAAGGTCAGTGTGCCCCTTCTAATAAAGGCATGTTCATCTGCCAGAAGGGAGAAGACGTAAGTGGTGTGTCAGTGCCTTTTGTTGAGATGCTCTTTCTTATAATAATGCAATGTTGAAATTTTCAAATTTTCCTGTTTGAAAATTACTGTGGACATTTATATGTTTTTGAAAAATTGGAAAAAAGATGGCTCATCAGTGTTTCAAATAAGGTAAAAGTACACTAATTCAGTGTCATCATGAATCTTTTCTTTCTATCCTGAGTGAAATGATAAAAGGGACAGAACATTCTCCCTCTCAGGACTGCTGTGAATGGGCAGTTGAAGAAAAGCACAAAGAGGCAGAGAGGATAACACCTGGCATCATAATTGCTGTGCAGCAAAAGAAGAGGGCAACATCCTGACCCAACCCTATATCGTGCTGTCCTGTGACTTCTGCTTCATTGTAATTGAGAGTGAGATTCCTGCCTTGGTTAAAGATGGGAGACGGCCCCACTTTGGTAAATCATAAAGCAGCAGCACTGGGTGAATTGCTCGAGAAGGTCAGAGTGGGTTCAGAACAAAGACAATACCACCCCTTTCTCCCAGAACTCACTTTGTAGTGGACAGGAATGTACTTTCCTCAAACTCCTGAGGATCAGTGTCCACCATGACAGTGAGAACAAGTGCGTGTCAACCAGGGAAACATCCCAAGATTGGAGGTAAAAAGATTTTTACAAAGATATACCATGCAAAACTGATTTTAAAAAAGTTCGTATTTGGACTTTGCCTTCATTACTTCTTTATTTTGATGGGGATATGTACACACAATAATTGCTCACCAAAATGGTCTTTTTTTGTTGTTGTTGTCATGTTGCAAGTCATTTTGGGCTATCGTCTTTAGTAAACTAACATAGGAACAGAAAACCAAACAACACTGTATGTTCTCACTGATAAGTAGGAGCTAACTGGTAAGAACTTATAAACACAAGGAAGGAAACAGCAGACACTGGGGCCTACTTGAGGGGGAGGGTGAGAGAAGGGAGAGGAGCAGAAAAGATAGCTATTAGGTATTGAGCTTAATATCTGGGTGATATAATAGTATGTACCGTGACACGTGCTTATCTATGTAACAAACCTTCACATGTATCCCCAAACCTAAAATAAAAATTGAAAAAAAAGGAAAAATTGAAAAAAAGAAAAAAAAATTGGTATAGCTATACTCATACCAGCCAAAGTAGACGCTAAGGGATGAAGCATTTCATAACTTCATTATGCCTGTAATCCCAGCTACATGGGAGGCTGAGTCAGGAGAATTGCTTAAACCTGAGATAGTGCCACTGAACTCCAACTTGGGTGACAGAGCAAGACTCCATCTCAAATAAATAAATAAGTAAATAAATAAATTAACAAATAAATGTCAGAATAGTAGTTATTTGGGTGGAGGGGAATCTTCAGTAGAAGCTGACTTGAGGTGGCCTCAGGAAGGCTGGCCATGTTCTGCTTTTTTTTTGTTTCAAGTTCAGACGTTGGTTACACCAGTGTGCTTGCTTTGTGAAAATTCATTGAGGCTTACACTATGATTTACATACTTCAATAAAACATTTATAAAGGAGGGAATCACTGTCCATAGAATTTCATGGAATTTAAAACTTTCAGGGTCTCTGTGCTGACATGACAGCAATATTATCAGATCTGTTTCTCCAGTGGAGATTTTGACTTAGTTCTCTATTATAAGCAAGTGTTGAGTTCAGATAACACCAACCCACTCGGGTTTGGTCAGCCAGTAATATGGGTACTCCTAAATTATAAAGAGTTTTCAGACACTGGGGCTGGTAACGGGGAGGGGAAAAGAGAATGATGTACACGGTTGTATGAATACAGAAAAGGAACGTCTCAAACTACAACTGTGTTCCATTCTTGGAAGATTGCCTTAAATACTCCTAATACCATTAACAGGGTATGTGCCATGTGCTGCCTGCAAAGCTCTGTGCTCAGTAATCCCATGGGCCTCTCCGGGAGGTAGGCGGTGGGTGTCCCCATTTCACACCTAAGAGAGTCAAGTGTGTTCATGCCCACGCTGATGTGCCCTTCACTGGTGGCTGCAAGTATCCACGCATGGCTGCTGGATTTCTCACTGTGGGAGTTCCAGAGTTGCATAGATGTAATGATACTTGAAAGGCTCATATGCACTGTAGACAATCGTCATAACGTCTGACTCACTTGTATGGATGGCCATTTACTCAGATTGCCTCATGGCAATGAGAACATAGAGACTGAACCCAGGTGTCACATGCACAAGTACATTTCAAGATGCAAGGCTGAAAAAGGTTCTGAAACAGGATATGGTACTGAACAATAACTGATAATAGTAAAGACTCATGAGCACTTCTGCTGGGCTCTGTCCAACCTGTTTTTCACATATTAATTCATTCACTCGTCAGGATATGAACTAACACAAAGTATAAAGTGGATACTTTATAATTAGCCCTGTTTTTAAAAGTTAAAGTACTTACTTTGGAATCAGTGCAGATCACACGCAGTTATGCAATATAATACAGAGAGATCCCTTGTGCCCAGGATGCAGTTTCCCCCAGTGGTAATATCTTGCAAAACTCTGGCACAGTCTCACATCCAGGAAATTGGCACTTATACAGTCAAGATATAGAACACTTCCATCACTACAAGGGTCCCTCAGGGTCTTTTACACTCACACCAACCATGTTTCTGTGTCTCTAACCCTGGCAACCACCCATCTGTCCCCCAGTTTTCGAATTGTGTCAGTTATGGAATATTATATTAATGGAATCGATTGAGGATCTGAGCCCATGGGACTGGCATTTTTCGCTCAGCATGAATACTTAGAGATTCATCCAATTTGTTGCATCAGTCCCATTTTATGGTGAGGAAAATCGAGGCACAAAGAGATTGTGTATCTTGCCTTAGGTCATATCATTAGTAAGTGGGGAAGTTGAAATGTGAGCCCAAGAGATCTCTGGAGCTGGAACCATGCTCTTAGCAACTCTGTTATTCTGCCTCTTTGCAACCGTTTATATTTCTTACCATTGATAACTGTCAAAAAACCAAAACCAAAGCCAAAAAAAAAAAGAAGTGTTAAAACTACTAGTTTTGAAGACACTCTGTTAGTGTCCCAGGGCTGCTATAATGAAGCACCACAAACCTGGTGGTTCAAAACAACAGAAATTTATTTCTGGAGGTTAGAAGTCTGAAATAAAGGTGTCTTCAGGGCCATGCCATTGGAAATCTCTAGGGTGGGATCCCTCCTTGCCACCCAGCTGCAGTGGACACTGGCCAGCCTTGTCATTCCAGGAATTGCGGTGGCATCTATCCAATCTCCACCTCTGCTTGCTTTCTTTTTTCTTTTTTTTTTTTTTTTTTGAGATGGAGTCTCGCTCTGTCTCCCAGGCTGGAGTGCAGCGGGGACATCTCAGCTCACTGCAGTCTCTGCCTTCCCAGCTCAATGATTCTCTACCTCAGCCTCCCGAGTAGCTAGGGTTACAGGCATGTGCCACAATGCCCAGCTAATTTTTGTATTTTTAGTAGAGAGAGTTTCATCATGTTTGCCAGGCTGGTCTTGAACACCTGGCCTCAGGTGATCCATCAGCCTCAGCCTCCCAAAGTTCTGGAATGACAGGTATGAGCCGCCACGCCTGGCCTCCACCTCTGCTTTCACATTATGTTCTTTCCTCTGTGTCTGTATGTCTTTGTGTCCAGATTTCCCCTTTCTATGTCCAATCACTGGATTGACACCCACCCTGCTCCAGTATGCCCTCGTTTTAACTTAATTATATCTGCAAAGACCCCATTTCCAAATAAGGTCACATCCACAGGATCTGAGTCCATGTGTAGAGACACTTCCTCAAACACCAAACAACTTGATCTTAAGAGAGCACTTCTGATCAGTGCTCAGTAGATTTTTCTAAATAGAGAAAAATAAGTCTGGGCTTCAGTGATAGATTTAGGTTCAGATCTGGCTGGGCTATGTATCAACTGTGGGTTGGGGGCAAATAATGTTTGCAAAACCTCTTCATCTACAAAAGACAGAGGACTGAGTGAGAAAACACATTGAAAACATCCATTCAGAGTGTCCAGTACATCACAGGCACTTAATCAATGTTATTTTCTTCTCCTGCTGACTAGGTTATCAACTGACACACTATTTCTTCCTAACAAACACACAACAATAAGCCTCTTCTGCTCACAGGTCTGTGGGGTTAGGCGGCTAGGTGGCTCTGTTGGTCTTGGCTGGGCTCACTGGCATATCTGGGGTAGACTGATTGTTGGCTGAGGTAGGTTGGCCTCAGCAGGAACAACGGGGATCACTCAGTTCTGCTTCTCATAGCTCTTATTTTCCAGAAGTTCAGCCTGGGCATTACGTCATGGCAATGGCAGAGGGGTGAGGGAGAACAAGTGGATTCACGCAAGGCCTCTTGGTGTCTAGGCTGAAAGCTGGCACCCCCATATGATCATCATATTCTATTGTTCAAAGCAAGTCAAGAGACAT